CAAAATATAATATTATGATGATAAAATCGTAATTTGTTGAAAAGTTTCTAGAAAAAAATAAAACCATTCTGAATTTTAATTGATATTTTTTCGACTTATTTTTGTTATTAATCAGTTGTCCACTTAATCCACTTATTAATCAGTTATTTCAGAATATATATATATATATATATATATATATATATATATATATATGATTATGTGTTAATAGAAATATGAGTGCTGTTCTACTAAATAAAAAAAGTATTCATAAATTAAATTTAGAATTATCATATACCATATATATATATATATATATATATATATATATATATATAAATATATATATATAAAACTTTTTTATCTACCAAAATAATTATGATTATTTGGTATGGTAATGTTGCCATGGATATTTAGATGTGATAAAAATGGTGTAAATAATGATTAAGATTCAATCAGAATATATAATACACAGATTTACACAATGATTATATGATCATTCAAATTGATATAGTTATTTTATTTTGTATCATGAAATAAATAAATAAAATTAATGTAAAATTAGACAAATCATATACGAAGATATCGACGCACCATTTATTTGTTTGTCGGCAAAACTTATTCCGATCAAAGTAATTATTACAATCCACAGCACAGACGACATTTTTTTAAATACTACTGATGTGGAAGTAAGTCACTATAGTGAGCCACCAATGAGCCACTATAATCAGTAAGTTTACTGTTCTTTGTTTTATTCATGACACCGGCTGTTTCACAATGAGTACACATAAGTTTTGTTTGTCTTTACGGTATTCTTTTCAAGTACAAAGCCACATTATATTGAATAAAGAATAACTAATATTGCGTTTTGAGTAGGTAAACTTGCTATGTTAGTAGAAAATATATGCAAATATTTATATTTCGTAGACGATTTATTATGCAAAGTGGTTGTGATGTTTAAGAATGCCTACCACAGTTTTAAACTTGCGAATTATATTAATGGATTGCAATTATGTAAATTATGCTAAAGAAAATTCTACGATAGAAAAATTGTAAAAAATTCACAATACTCTATTAAAAAATTTTTATTTGATGAAAATTTTTTGTGCTGAGAAACGTTAAACGATGTTTTTATTAAAAAATCGAAAGCTTAACTGCGGTAAAATTCCATTCGTCACGTGTTTTATGAGTAAGATTATTCAAATTTGAAGTCATAAAACTCTCGCTTTCGCATATATTTAATTTGATATCAAACAATAATACTCGGAAACACCGATCGTTCATTTAACTTTATTTAAATAATTAATTTGTTTGCAGAGTTTTCGAACTATCAATTAGTAGGAATAAAAAAGCAAAGCAATGCATAGAAAGTCGTTCCGTTTTTTTTCGACCGTGTGGTACCCTTTCCACAATCTCTGCGGATCCGGATGCTGCGCCGATACGTGATCTTGATCATCGATGCGGGTCATCAGTTAATCTCGCCAGTGGCATACGGAAACATGTTTCCGCAAATTGTGCAAATTGTGCAAATCGCGCTACTGACTTGCTTCTTCGTTTCGACCTGTGAACCGGCGTCCGCCGTACATTATCGGAACGCGACAGCAGGTAACGCAACCTTTGCCACCAGTTTTGCCGACAGAATCGGCATTTCATTATCATTTACACGATAACGATCGATCAAATTTCGAAACAATCGAAAGGTCACGTTTTGATGATAATAGGAATGGACAAGTTTGTGATCATAATATTGTTGAACGTGTGATGCAATCTCTAGCGTTAATTATTATTGTGATTAGTGGATTATGTATATATTATCGTGAAGATTTGTCATTGACTTTCTCTCTTTATATCAAAACAAATATGTAAACGGACGACGCACACACACACACACACATATATATATATATATATATATATATATATATATATATATATATATATTGATTGTTTTTTCCGAACAGTAAATCCAATAATAAAAAACAATTTGTTTTTTGAAGATGTTTAATACGACGTTTCGGAACTAGGTACGTTCCATCATCAGGTTTATTTGATGACGATGGAACGTACCTAGTTCCGAAACGTCGTATTAAACATCTTCAAAAAACAAATTGTTTTTTATTATTGGATTTACTGTTCGGAAAAGAAACAATCAATATATTGAAAAAATCCAGGACTTATCTATTGAATATATATATATATATATATATATATATATATATATATATATATAATTGATAAAACTAATTGTGAACCAGCCTTTCCAAAGAATTTTTGCCATGCGTTTTCTTTCAATTAAGTATGCAATAGATGACCTAGCACGTGATTTTAATGCAATATTTAAAATAATACTTTTCTAATTGGTTTAGAGCTTGAACTTTATCAATTAAATATTTTACAATACTAATACAGAAATGTTTTCACTGTACTAATTTTTGATATTGAAAATATTATAATTAATTCACTTGCTTTTTGTCACCTTAATAGTTCTACAAGAGTTAGTCTAAAGAGATTTTCCGTCTGGAAAGTAACTATACATGAAATTAGCATGTTTTTGGAATACTAGATATTTGTATATTGGTTTGTATTGTGTATATGTATAAGATCAGAATAAATCAACCCATTTGTACTTTTCAAATTCATTACATTCAAATTTATTAGTACTCATTAGTTTTGAGAAAGGAAATACATGCATTCTATAAGTTATTGGGAACTATTTGAACTTAAAATCTTAAAGTTCAAAAATATGGGTTACTTAGGTAACTCTCCAATGTGAGCCCTATATACTTAAAGTAAATCTAAAGCCCGAATCACACGAGGCTTGTTTCTGACGCTGGATTTCCCGCTTGATTTTTTTGCCGATGACGGCGCTATAAATCATGATATTTTTCTAGCCGTACGCATCACACGAGGCTTTTTGAACTAGATTTTAAGCGGTGGTTAATAGGTGCCGTGCGACATAACCTCGAAATTCAACAATACTTTTAGTTTAACACAATTTTTCGTTTAAACAATACTTTTAGTTTAGTTACAATTAACAATAATACTTTTAGTTTACTTTTTCTATTTAACACGGGTCGTAGAAAATAACATTAATTTTAATAAAACAATTCAATAAAATTAATATAGAAAAGAGATAATTAATATAATAATTTAAAAAAAAATGGAAAGTTATATAATTTATTTAAATTTTCATAAATCTGAATTAAAATTATTTATTGAAACATTATTAGTAAAAATAAATAAAATCAATACAAATAATAAATAATATTGTAAAATTAATTATTGTTTTAGTAAACTTTATAAATATATATTTTAATTTTAATATTAATTAATTTTATATTTTTTTGTGAATTTTAGAAATATAATATTCAATAATATTTCTCCAATAAATGAAATAATTAAAATAAATTAAAATCAAAATGCTTCTATATATAAAAAAATATTTATACTTAAATAAAATAGAAAATGTTTTTGGATATCATTTATCATTTACGTTTATATTATTTTAAATTATCTAAATTATCTAAATTAAATAAAATTTAAAAAAACTATATGTTTTTGTCCGAGGCCGATCAATTGACATTGATTTCATAACTATTTCCAAAATATGTCGTACTCTTTCTTCAAGTTTGACAGCAGTGCCGTCACGTGATGATCCATGTGACAAACTACTGCTTCCCGATTGGTCCGTGCGGGCAAATCCAGCACGAAAAATAGCGCACGTTCTAATGTTGAAATCCAGCATGCTGGCAAGTAACCGAGATCGCTATGACGTCATTTTGGACCCTCTACAGCCAGGTACCTGGCAAGCAGAGCCATAAAGCAGCAAAACAAGCTCCGTGTGATTCGAGCTTAAGGGTAGTTTCTTTTCAATCTTCTCCTGGTACGAAGAGACAGCAATTGATATGAGTTTAACATTTTTTGGTTTCCGAGTTGGTTAATATGAGATATGCATCTATGTTTAATGACTTTATATATTGAATCCATTTCTAGATCATTGTGTATAATTTTGTTAGAAACGTAACAGGGCACGTTGATGATCAATCTTATTATTAGAGTTCCTACTGTATTCTCTGGATTTGCAATATTCGGGTTTTGCTGGCGCATCCCACAGTTCGACCCCGTAAGTCCATATTGGCTTAATCAGTATCTTGTACAGCAAGAGCTTGATGTAAAATGAGAGTTACGTCAATTTAATTTTTTTGTTCATTAGTTGATATTGTTTACTTATGCAAATACTCCAGTTTAGTTTTGAATCCAAATGCATGTCCAAATACATTACTACTCTAGAATCATATGCAGAATCAATACGGATTATTTTGATATTTATTCTAACTGGAGGGCGTTTCTCCTTTTTTAAAGTAAATGTTATATGACTGGATGTGGCTTCATTGATCTTTATTCTCCATTAATGTGACCACTTTTAAATTTTGTTTAAGTCTTTTGAAATTCATTGCTAGCAGCAATGGGGTTGGAATCTGTAGCAGCTATTACAGTATCATAGGCAAACTTACCAATTATAGTACTATCCGCGAGAGACAAGTTATGGGTGTAAAAAATATATAACATGGGACTTACACAGCAGCCCCGAGGAACGCTTGCATCTATCTTGCGAAAGCTGGAAACTTTGTTGCTTGCTTTGGTTTAAAATATTCTGTTACTGAGGCAAGCAGTTAAGAATTTGTGATATTCTGGAAAGACTTCGTCGAACTGCTTCACAAGTAAGGCGGTTGTGCCGTCCTTCCTCGAATGCCGTGTGGTTGGTTACGTAAATAGTATTAGATCGGGCTGTAGGAATCGGCTAGATATGGATGTTGGACAGGTTTAGGAATTAGTACTTTTTGAGACTGCTTTTTTTATTCGGTTTATTTTCTCATATTTAGTTCATGGAAAAACCTTTTTTGGGCAACTCGTTTTACATCCTGGGCATGATATTGTCTGTTTTTCAAATCCAAGCATCGTGAGCGTATTGTACCTGATGAAAACCTTGGTGTTCAAGTAATAGTAACATTTTGAACAATATGATTCATGTTGCGATTGCTTTTGCAGTTCTCGTTGTTGTTGGAAAAGGTAAATTTACTCGTTTCGACATTATATACTTCGTAGGACTTCTTGAATTCTGATAGATATTAAAAATATACAGGTATGTAAAATACATTAAGAAAGTAGAATGGAAGAATAGAAGTTTCATTAATTTGTTTCAAGGCGCTATGAAATATATGGTTTGTTTGTGGTAAGTTTTTTATTGTTTAAAGTATTATAGTGTTTTGATACATTGCTGAATGCATTTTCAATTATCAGATATAAGACTAAACTTACTACTTATAATAACCATTATATTAAATAATTTTCTATATGACATTTATATTCTATGACATTATGCAAAAAACAATAAAAAGTGTGTTCGAAGTTAAGGCAAGCGTTCCAAATTTCGATTTCATTATTGTTTAATATTTAATTCCTCGTTTACATAAAAGTTTTGAACTACGTAACAAAATTGAGAGACAATTTTTGAAATTCTGAATATATCTGAAGTATATTTGAATATATCAATTAGGGATCGTTTTGATTAGTTTTGTACTTAATAGATAATTTTTCATGTCTAGTTTGAAAATTTTAATTTTATTTTGGTAGGTGGCGCTTCTCACTTAAAATTAACAGTTTAAATCAGTTTGTTTTTGCAATTTCAAGAAGTCAAATCATTATTAAGTAATGTTCATTTTAAATCTCAGAAAGTTTATATATCTTGCTCTAAGTCAAATTTCGACTTACATCTTCGAAAAATTTTAGGGCACATTAATGATATTACAACTTTGTAAAATATATATTTATGAGTAAAATGTAGAAAGTTCTTCACACTGGCAAGTGAACTAAGTTGCTGAAATAAAATTAATCTTGTACTATAAAAACTTAATTAAGAAATGAGCTTCTAGTAAATGTATTTGTGTCGCGATTCATTGTATTTTTTCTTTATATATATCCACGGCATGCATTAAATTGAAGAGAATGCTAAGAATTTGTTTATACCAAAAGGTGTGTATTTTCAATTGAATAAATTCTATTCTTATAAGTAGTATAAGTGTTATCGAACGTTAACGGGTTTACTTTTATATTATTTATAAAAATAAGTTGTTTTAGAGTCGGTAGATGATACTTGACTCAAACTTTAATATATAATAATTATTAGTATATATATATATATATATATATATATATATGTGTGTGCGTATGTATGCTTATATATATTTATTTATTTATGCGTGTATGTATGTATACAGTGGTACCCCGGCTTACGAGCTTAATTCGTCCCTTAAGCACCCTCACATGTCGAATTGTTCGTATCTCGAAGCTTCGTATTTTACATATAAATACACTAAAATGCTATTAATTCGTTCTAGCACAGTGTTTTTATTAATAATAAAAATAATTGGAACATTTATTGCTCAGAACAAAAACATACTCGCAAAAATATAGCATATTTCTAAATAAAAAATGACTAAATTATCATTATACTAGTTTCTGATTTAAAAAAAAAATACAATGAGCATTATTTTTTTCTTCAACTCATTCTAGTATTGCGAAAATGAGTTGAATATGTCTCGTCAAACAACTCTGATACTCGACCAGCTGTATCTTTTTCGGGGTAATTTTTATCGGGGTATGACGAGTCGCTCGTAAGGCGGGGTACCACTGTATATGGTTATGGCATTTTTAACTTCCCGTAGGGCAAGTTATAGTAATCGCAAAAAAATCGAAAATGAAATTTTTTGCATTTCTCGACGTTTCAAAGGTTCTGAATATTTTGGCATACCTTAGAAAAAATTAATGTATGTGTGTGTGTGTGTGTGTGTATGTGCGGATACAAATTTTCGTCGACGATTTTGGGAACACCGATCAACCGATTTGAATAATTCAAAGAACATTCGATTCGTATTGATAAGGAGACGTGCTGATTAGTTTTTGGCAAAGGCAGGTCTAGCCGTTCCGAAGATACGGGGCAAAAAGTGCCAAAAACGGTAACTCAGTTTTTAAGAGAACGGAGCGTCCGATTTTAATAATTCAAAAAACATTTTACTTGTATTGATAAGGTGAAGAACCGATCAAATTTTCATAAAGGCAGGTCTAGCGGTTTCGGAGGTCTAATGAAAAAAGTAAAAAAAAATGTCATTTGGCGGTCAAAAATGATCATTAGACATATGCAGATCAAATTATCAGATATTTTATAGAGATTTTAACAATAAGTATAAATTTGGTTTACATTCCTATGGGTTCCGTACCAATGTTTACGCGTTAGACGGCGACGCGGCGCTTACGCGCTTGGATATTTCGTCTTTATGCAGTTAAAGCAGTACGATTGCTTTGAAAAAAAGTTTAGATCTTCCAAAATATGTCAAAATAAAGAAAAAAATTTTTTTCAAAAAAAAATTAAAAAAAAAAAAAAATTAAATTTTTTTTTCAAAAAAAAGTAATTTTTTGTCCAATGTATAGTTTCTCAAAATCTTATTTTTTCGAAGTAAATTTTTTTCAAAAATGTTAATTGTTTTTTAAAAAATAATAAGTTTTGGTACGGAAAGTTCCAGCAATTTGCCTCAAGGCACGATGCCTTAATTGCCTTAAGACAGAATTCTACTTACAGCTAGTTCAGCTATGCATTTACATACGCACCATTTAATATGTAATAATATATAATATCCACGTAAAATAATCTTATCAATTATCATCTCGCAGCCCGCATCCAATTCGAGCACGAGTACGAGGGCGTTCAAGTGGTACCGATACCAGAGGGAAAACTAAAGCGCGGAAGCGCGAAGCAGACTGGCGGCATATTCCAGTTCGGGTACCACCCATGCCACTGCATATCGGGCGTCTGCTCCTGCTGCACCGGAATTCTACTCGATCTGCTCAAGGCCAATGGCTGCATGAATCTCACGTACATTCCGGAAGAATTCGCCTTCGAACTCAAAATGATGATCAATGATCGAGTTTTATATAAGAATACTGTTACAGGTTATTTCACTTTTAATATATATTACAACATTAATACAAGAATTTTGCTATAATTCTTTTGGTAATATACATCGTTACATTAAAATATTTTGTTATATTAAAACATCAATTGAAATTTTATTTTGAACTTCCCGTAGGGTAATTTATAGTAATAGCAAAAAATCGAAAATGAAAATTTTTATATATCTTTACGTTTCAAAGGTTTCTGAATATTTTGGCATACCTTAGAAAAAATGGATGTATGTGTGTGTGTGTGTGCGGATACAAACTTTTGTCGACGATTTTGGGAACACTGATCAACCGATTTAAATAATTCAAAAAATATTCGATTTGTATTGATAAGGTAACGTGCTAATTAGTTTTTGGCGAAGACAGCTGTAGCCGTTCTGAAGATACGGGACAAAAAGTGCCAAAAACGGTAACTCAGTTTTTAAAAGAAGGCAGCGTCCGATTTTAATAATTCAAAAAACATTTCACTTTTATTTACAAGATGAAGAACTGATTAAATTTTTAGTAAGACAGGTCCAGCGGTTATGGACCTCTCAAAAAAAATGTTATTTGAACGTCAAAATGTTTATTGGACATAGGTACATCAAAATATCTGATATTTTATAGAGATTTTAATGTGTACACATTTTGTGTAAATTTTTTTGGGTTCCGTACCAAGATTTTCGGAAAGTTCCGGCAATTTGCCTTAAGGCACGATGCCATTTGCCACTAGTTAAAGTTTTGATAATAAAAAATAGAGGTTAAGTGTTTCAAAGAATATTTAAGCAAATAATTGTTGTTTTATCAATTTTCAAATGATACTGATCAATATTTAAAAGCCAAAATATTTTCATCTTCAAAAATACCAACTTCAATTTCATTGTTGAAATAATTACATAAAGCAATATCTTTACTATCAATCATTTAAAAATTCTAATGTTTCAAAAAAGTAGTAAAGGTTTTTGCAACAAATTTGAATTATTCAAATCGGTTGATCGGTGTTCCCAAAATCGTCGACAAAAATTTGTATCCGCACACGCACACACACACATACACACACGCATACATCTATTTTCTTAAGGTATGCCAAAATATCCAGAAACCTGTGAAACGTAAAGATATATAAAAATTTTCATTTTCGATTTTTTTGCGATTACTATAACTTACCCTACGGGAAGTTACTAAAAATATAAACCATATGATTTCTCAGCAAATACTGTAGGGTTTCGTGGATCTCAATAAAATTCAACTTGTTTTATAAAGGACATCGAGGATGTTACACACTTCGAAAAAATAACATATTAAAGTTCGTGTACCCGCAAAACAGGATTATTATAACTGACTGTTATTAATTTAATTTTACGTTAGTGTCACAATAATAGTATTTTAGATTTACTGATAGTTTCTTTTTGAATATGCCAGTACTTCTCGTAATAGTAAAATAATTTAGTAATGCTAGTTAGTTAGAAATCAATGCAATTATGCATTTTTGTTCAATAATCGATTTCTACATGGTATTTTTATCATATAAAGTAAAAGTAAAAAAGTAACATTCAATTTCAAAACTGATATAGTCATTGTGTCGAAAGATCAAACTTTTGATCAGTGGTTTGCTTGAGTCATATGTGAAAATATGATAATTTATTCGTATAATATTTATTGTGTTATAATTGTTTCTAAATTTATGATAATTTATTTTTATGCATAAAGGTCGTAATCCTCCACCAATTTGTGTACGAGTCCCGAGACTGCAATTCATCCAGTTGTGCACAAAATTCACAAATGTGTACTTTAAGGGAAGAAATCTTCATTTATGTGCTGAAATGAATGCTGATTGGGAAGGCTTTGATCTCTTCCATCGATCGTTTGACTGCGTTATGATAGGTATTGTTTTATTTCATTATGCTTTTTCTTACATATTACGTTGAACGTTTTATCGCATAGTATATAAATTATTTTATCCAGTCAATAAAATATGTATCAAATACTATGGCGAGGTAATTTATTAATTAATCACGATACATACATGCATTCTTTATTATTCTAGAAGTTTTTTTTTCAATTAATCGGTTTGTAAGATTACAAATGTTTTTTTTTATAAAATACTTTCTAAAATCTTTTAATTGCATTTATTTAAAGTAAATGTAAATATAGAACTATCAATCAATATAAAATATGTCATCTATTTCAACTAAATCATTGAATTCATGAAGCTAAATAATAATTATAGTAGATTGTTACATATCGAAGATTTGATATTAATAGAATTAATTAAAAACGAAAGAAGGTTAATGTAACTAAGCATTTAGTTTTATTATTTTACAGTAAAATTTATATACAATCAATATGATAAAGTTTCAATGCTATTATTCACGAACTAAATATTAAATATTAATTAAAATCGTATTTTAAGTCGAGTTTTAATAAAATTATTAATACTTTATTACTATAGTAAAAGTATAAATACTATATTATTTTTATCAATATTAGATGTTTAAAAAAAAATTTTTTTTTATAAAGCTTTTTTTCAGCTTTCATTGCTTTTAATATTCAACGCATATCTGCATTCTTAAACACTTTCAAAAAGCTACTTATACAAAATGTGATGATTTTTCACTGCGACGCGAATATTTTTTATGCACATGTTGTTACTTTGGGGCCAAATTAAATTTTTTAACAATAATTCTTAATTGTCTTGTCTCTAATTTTAGTTACGCCTGATATTACGGTAAATTTCAGTTATAGTAATTATTATATATACAATAAAAAAGTAAAAAAAGCCTCAATTTTTCTAAAAATGAAATTATTTGAATTCGTATTTCTGCACTTTAATTTCTATTATAAAATTATTATTTTATCACCTGAAAGTAAATTGATTCAAATATAAATATATTTTGCAAACAAAAAATTAAGAACTAAGGAAAGATTTTTTGTCTTATTTTTAAATGCTGTAATAGATCATGAAGACCTCGGGCGTTCTACCTAATTTTATATTCTATATTATGTATAGATATACATATACATATATATATATATATATATATATATATATAATTTGAATAAAGTATCTATCTATCTATATATATATATATATATATATATATATATATATATATATATATATGTGTGTGTGTGTGTGCGTGTATTTGCTTGTGTTTGTATTATTTTTAACTTTCCGTGGGGTAAGTTATAGTAATCAACCGATTTGAATTCTTTAAAAAAAACATTCGATTGCTGTTGATGAGGAGACGTGCTGATTAGTTTTTGGCATAGTTGGCTGATTAGTTTTTGGCAATAAGTGCCACAAACGGTAACTCTGTTTTTAAGATAACGGAGTGCCCGATTTTGATAATTCAAAAAACATTTTACTTGTATTGGCAAGATGAACAACTGATTAAATTTTCATCAAGGCAGGTCTAGCGGTTTCGGAGATCTAGTGGAAAAAGTAAAAAAACATGCCATTTGACGTTCAAAAATGATCATTAGATATAAGCACATGAAATTATCAGATATTTTATATAGATTTAAACAATAAGTATATATTTTGTTTACATTCCTAATGGGTTTTCCGTACCAATGTTTATCCGTTAGACGGCGACGCGACGCTTACGCGCTTCGATATTTCGTCTCTATGCAGTTAAAGCAGTACAATTGTTTGGAAAAAAAGTTTAGAACTTCCAAAATATTTCAAAATAAAGAAAACATTTTTTTTTTGAAAATTTATAGTTTCTCAAAGATTTTTCAAAAATGTAAATCTTTTAAAAAAAAATTATTTTTGGTACGGTAAGTTTCAGCAATTTGCCTTAAGGCACGATGCCATGCGCCCCACTAGTTATTATATTGAATTGTAATTAATAATTTATCTTACTATACCAAATTCCATTTCTTGTAGGTGATAATGGATTCCATGTTCTTAAACCCGAAGACGGCGGTGTGCCACCAGGATCGTCGCAGGGTCCTGATTCCGAAATTGATCAAGGGGATGATGAAGATGAAGAGTATGACGAAAATTTAGTTAGAAACTATTTTGCGATGTCCAGTTGGCTCAGATAATGATTACCTTAACAAATTTAACTGGATTTTATTTGAAATCTGCAAAAATAGAATCGCTATCGATCGGATCGGATGTAAAAGGAGCATTCTGAATCATCACCATATTTATTTAACGATTGGTTTATAATTGAAGGTAATTTACTTATTTTTTATACAAATTATGCAGAACATGTTTCGACCAAGCCGTAGTCTATAGTTCTAAATTATCTCTCTACTATCTTAAATTTTAAGTAGAGTCAGAAACCTGCAACCATATTTCGTACGAAAATTACTTTTCCAACTAAATAATAATACGAAGACTTTTGTATGTGAGTTGAGATACAACCCATAGAGTGTTATGAACACATGCAGTTAATAGAAGATAGATGGAATCAGATGTAGGTTTTAAATTTTTTTTTTATATACTCTATTGGAACACGAGTTGCAAGTCTATAATTTGGGATAAGAAACATTTTTATTTACATACTTATTTAGTATGCTGAGAAATTTAAAATATTAGTATAATATTAAGATTGGCAATTAATTCATGCGCACACCTCTTTAAATCATTATTATAATATCAAAAACAAAATAATTTTAGTTTTTATTTTGATGTTAGCAATAAAGAAGAAAAAGAATGGTAATAGCACCAAAGGTCGTTCCAACCAATCTCCGTATATTCGATGTTTTTCATCGAAGACACACTAATATTACAATATAAAATTTAATTAAATTTTATAATATCAAATATTTATATTTAATTGTATTTATTATATGTAAATTTATTGTACTTGTTTTTTACCATATTGCGTTTAACGTAGTAAATTATTGTGAGTTTATTATACTTAACTTTGTATTTATATATTTATTAATTTAAGGCATGATTATTATATGATGTGATTACTGCTTAATTATTAGATAGTTGAGATTAGTAAAACAAAATAATAGAGAGTTATAAAATATCAGAAATTTGATGAAATTATATTTTGATCACAAAATCATTTATTCAATTAATTTTTTAAATTGGAAAATCCATATTATGTAAGAAAATATACAGAGTCCATGAACATGATAAATATATTTTTATATTTATTTAACGGCTTTATGTTTATTCAAGTTTATAAGAATTACGATGGTAAAAATAATTAAGCCATAAATTTTCTTTCATAAATTTCATTTACGAGGTGTGTTCAAAAAGTACCCGGAATTACTAATAATTAAATTTCGCGGGTCTGGAGTGTCTGATTGTCAAAATTTTTTTTTTATTGTGTTGGTATACATGCCCCTAAAGTATGATGAAATTTTCAGCTATATTCACTGTTTACTTTGTCTGTGGTAGTCGCTAAGGTTCGACGTGTTTTTCTGAGCTCGGCGATTTTTACAATGGAAGAATTGAAAAGTCAAAGAATTTGTATTAAATTTTGCGTAAAAAATGAAATAAAGTGTTGCAAAGTGCAAAAATTCACCAGATATGGCTCCGTGTGACTTTTTCTATTCCCAAAGTTGAAGAGACCCATGAAAGGACAGCGGTTTTCCTCGATTGAAGAAAATCGCTGAGAGTGCTCAAGGATATATCAAAAAGTGAATATCAAGGGTGCTTCGAAAATTGGAAAAAACGCTGGCATAAGTGTATTATATCTGGGGGGGGACTACTTTGAAGGGGACCACATTAATGTAGACGAATAAATAAATATTTTTTTGAAAAAACGAAAATTCCGGGTACTTTTTGAACAGACCTCGTATAAACAAAATCATAGATTGATATTTTTATTGAATTTTATTTGATGTATCGTGTTTCGTGCATTGTATTTAAAACTTTCAAGAAAAGATTTCTTCAGTGTTTGACATTTGCACAGCATTATAAGAATGGAACTTTCCAATACTCATCTTTTAATCGTAATTATTCATATCAGTTTCCTAACTGTTTCATAACTAATCCGTAAAATATAGAAATATTTACTTTCATAAATAAAACTCCAAAACAATTATAAACACAGAGACTTTTATTACGCCATTCAAACATTCAATACTTAAAATTATATAGTACACAATAAATTAATTTTAAAATATGATCAAAATGGCTCAGTTGTGTTAGGTCTATTACAATAAATAAATAAATAAATAAATATTATTAACATATAAGGATCAAATGATGCTTTCAGAAATAATTTAAAAAGAAAACTCTTACAACTAGTAGGTATAAAATTAAATTATATATAGAAAAGCTACCTATTATTAAATAATATTACCAGCATCATTTTATTGTTTCTTCGTCTGAAGCCCAAAGTTCTGTATTGCGCCTAATCCGAATGTATCATCTTTCTCTCCTTTTTCTTTTTGGGTTTTGTGTCGTATTGCTAACTTCGGATGCAGGTTTTTTGCCCGGTTTTGTGGCCTGAACTTCGTCATCGTCTTCATCGCTATCGTCATCATCGTCGTCATCGTCGTCATCATCGTCGCTGTTGTCATCATCATCGTCATCCTCATCTTTTCTCCTTTCTTTGTATTATCTTCTACTTCATCACTTTCGTCGCTGTCGTCATCTTCATCCTTTTCAGTGCTTTCTTTATCATCGTCGTCATCATCATCGTCGTCGTCGTCATCATCGTCATCTTCTCCACCAATAAGCCCGCCTATAGATTCTATCGATTCTACTATTCCGTCCAGTCCGGAAGAAGAAGCTGGCTTTTTAGGAGGAGCTACAATGACTTCATTTGGATTAGATATTACTTCAACTTTGTTTGTTTCGACAGTAGCCAGTTCTTCGGCTGGAGTTGCTTGCGCAGACGTATCTTCAACAGCTTTTACTGGTTCTTGAGCTTTTACAGGTTCGATAGTGTCGTCTTCAGAACCGACGCTAATATAGCCGTCATCCTCATCATCAGAATCATTGTTCTCTGCTTGCATAGGTTGTTCAGGTGCTGCACTTGTATCTTGAACTGAAGTTTGTTCGGCAACTATTGAATCTTGAACAGCTTTGCTTCGTGATTATCTATCGCTGGCTCAGCGGCTGTTTCTATTATCGGATTTCGCGTTTCTTCTAACTTTAAATCGTCGAAGCCTAACTGGGTATTTTGTAAAACTTCCAACGAAGGTTGTATTTCATTTTGAATAGGATTATGCGCGAATTCTAGACTAGGAGTATTTAACAGTTGATTTCTAATAGTTGTGATAGAAATGTTGTCTGTAAATGGAATTTGTGTAGTTGTGGTTCGTCTTAGGCCGGTTGAAGTTGGTTTTTTGACAATGTATTGTGGTACATTATTCACAATTACTTTGTGGTACACAGCAGGTTGTTGTAGTCGCGATTTTGTAGGACTGTGTCGAAAATGTATGTTTAATTGGTTTAGCACAGCTGTTGTCGATGATGCTGCTACAGAAACTTTCTTTCTTAGGGGTTTGCGAATGATTTTAGTTGTAGTTGTCGTAGGAGCACGGGTAGGCGCAACGGCGGCTGCTTTTTTCCTGTGGATTTTTTTCTTGTTTGAGGTGCTGCCTCCAAACAGTCCACCTAGAAAATCATCGCTCAAAAGACTAAATCCTGTATAATCTGCACTTTCCACCTCGTTATCTGCTGATTCTCTTCTTCGTCGTCGTCATCGTCATCATCACCTAATAGTTAATAACTCAATAATATATTGATTAAACTTCTGTGATATAAAAACTTACGGATATTTATGTAAAACACGTTAGCTAGTAGACTTGTTTTGAATAATAATATATATATATATATATATATATATAATATATATATATATATATTAGGGTGGTCCTTAAAATGGTTATTTTCGAATTTCCTTGCTCCCAGGGGCTCAAATAGTTCCAAATAGATAAAAAACAATTCTCTGAAAGTTTTAGCTCTTATATTAACGTTTAGATAGAGCGCAATTCAATCAAAGTTTTGTATGGAAATAGCATGGAAAATTTTTAAAAATTTTAAAAATGTTTTTAGATGTAATTTAGCGAACAAATGAATGAATGAAACTCATTCATTTGTCGCTAAGTTATAACTAAAACATTTTTTTTTTAAATTTCAAAATTTTTTCTATGCTCTTTCCATACAAACTTTGATTAAATTGCGCTCTATCTAAACGTTAATATTTAAAGCTAAACTTTCAGAAAATTGTTTTTATCAATTTGGAACCATTTGAGCCCCTGGGAGCAAGGAAATTCAAAAATGACCATTTTAAGGACACCCTAATATATATATATATATATATATATATATATATATAGTAGCAAAAATAGTAAATCTACAAAGGTTTACGAAAATATCTCATACTTTTAGTACTATAATATTTAGTCTACAATAAAAGAAGTTTAAAATAACTAATGTAATATACAATGCAAAAAATAACGTACTAATGATGACAATTAACTATCACATTTTTTTGTTAATCAAATACTCTTTTTACCTAGACCAAAGTCAACAATATCATCGTCATCATCATCGTCATCGTCATCGTCATCGCCTCCTAATCCTAATCCGAAATCATCATCGTCGTCATCATCATCATCATCGTCATCGTCATCTTCAGGCGCTGCTTCCTGACGTACAGGTAAAGGCTCAGCAGGTGCAAGGTCAAGACCTATTTTTAATGTAAAATCGTAATAAAATATCGTAAACATTTTAAGTCTAATTATTAATTATGCATATTATCAAATTTATATTGAATTGATGAACAAAGATAGTAAAACAATTATAGCTTAATAAATTGTTTGTTCCTAGACAGTTTATTTCAACACGAGAAGAACGAAATTTTAAATGTTTTTTTACTTAATTTCTTGATGTCATTCCCGAATGTTGGGTTCCTTTATTATTTTAAATCTGAATAAATTAGAATATATCTATTCATATGTTTATAATATCTAGTTTTGAGTAGAGATTATAATTATAAGTTACTGAGATGTGTTTTTAGGATAACACAAATATTGCTTATGAAGCAATTATTTTATCATTCAAAGTACCATAATCATATTTCATAACCAATAGTTTGATATGATACGAATTCTTTTTAATTTATTTTCTATTAATATTATTATATAACGGAGAGGAACGATGAAAGTTTAAAGATTTACTGATAGGTTGATATAAATTTCGTATAACATTTGTTATATTATTTGTTACGATAAAATGACAATATATTTATTATTCACACAACGAGAAGAAGATCTTGAAAAAAATTGACTTTGATTATAAGACCATTATTTATTTAATGATAATTATTTTTTATTAGTAAATATTATTATATTGTTATATTTAATATTATTTTTAGATAATGTAAATAGTTCATTATTTTGAATATTTATGGGTTCATATATATATATACCTTTCTATTTATGTTTAGTTTTTTTATTTCCATTTCATTACCATATAGATGATGACAATGGTATACACTTTTTTTTTGTTTTACTAACTATAAATAAAACACTATTTATTTTATATGTAACAAAACTTCACTTAAATTAAGAAGTTTTTAATATTCTTATATGCAATTCTGTTAGAGTTTAGAGTGCTATTAACGATATTCGTTTTTGTTTCAGATAAATTGTTTTCT